GGGCTGGAGACTGGGTTAATAAATGACTATGCCTATGTGATAAAGCCTCTATAAAAATCCTTGCAGACTCTATAAAAATCCCTGAACTATGGGGTTTAGCAAGCTTCTAGGTTAGCAAACTAGAACATACCCACATGCCTGAAGGATGGCACATCCCAACTCCATGGGGATGGACCTCCTAAACAAGGGACCCTGCCAAATCTTACCCTATGTATCTCTTTATCTCACTGTTCATTTGTAATTTTTAAAATATCTTTTGTAATAAATCATAAATAGTAAGAAAATTGTTTTCCCGGGTTCTATGAATTGCTCTTATCAAGCAAATAAAACAAATCAAGCACATTGAACCTGAGAAGAGGGTCATGGGAACCTCCAATTTGTAGCCAAGTCAAACAGAAGTTGTGGGTAACCCAGAAACCTGCTACATATGACTGGTATCTCAAGTGAGTGGCAGTAATAAGGAACTAGGCCCATTAAGGGTTCTACACTAACTCCAGTTAGTGTCAGAATTGAATTGAATTGTAGGGCACCCAACTGGTATCAGAGAATTGGTCAGCAGGAGGGGAGAAAAAACCCATGCATTTGGTAACAGAAGTGTTTTGTGTTGAGAGCTGAGAGTAGAATAAAACTCATTGTACAGGTAAGACTATAGTAAAATTCAGAATGCTCTAATACAGTAATGATGGTGCATGAATCACTTGTAACTCTAGTATAAAAGTTAAAAGACAAAAGTATCAAGATAACTAATATTTTTTAGGATATGTGACAGATACAAGATATAAATTGTGACATCAATAACAAAAAATATAGAAGAGGAGAAATGAAAAAGTTTTGAAATGCAGTAAAGTTAACTTGTTAAAGTTAGCTTAAAATAGACTGTTATAAGATGTTTTTGTATACCTCATGGTAATCACACACACAAAAAAACTGTTGTAGATAAACAAAAAATGAAGAAAGAAATCAAATTATACCATTAAAAAAATCAAATCACAAAAGGAGACAGCAGGAGAGTAAGAATGAAAAAAAGGAACTACAAACTGTCAGAAAATAATCAACAAAATGACAGTAGTTAAGTTCTAACTTACCAATAAATATTTTAAATGTAAATGAATTAATTTAACCAATCAAAAGACACAAAATGGCTAAATAGATTTTTTAAAAGATTCAACTATATACTGCCCACAAGTTACTTACTTCAGCTTTAAAGACACAAATAGGCTAAAAGTAAAGGGATGGGAAATCATATTCCATGTAAATG